AAGACGTTACCAGCTACACCATAAGAAGAAAGCTTATGGAGAAGACCAGCATGCCAAACTTTATCAAAAGCTTTAGAAATGTCAAGTGCGATAGCCTTAACCTCTCCACCTCTATCTAATGCACGGTAAAACCTATCGGTTATTACTGTTAGCACATCAGCTGTAGAACGAGAAGACCGAAATCCATATTGATGATCAGAAAGTAAGTTATTTGATTCAAGATGAGAGATTAAGTGTTTGTTGATTAAAGATTCAAAAACCTTGCTTATGACAGGAAGAAGACTAATGGGACGGTAGTTAGATGAATCAGATCGCTCTCCGGAATTTTTGAAAATAGGGATAACAGATGCTGCTTTCCAGCATGATGGAAAACAAGACTCTGATAAGCACTTGTTAAATAGTTTAGAAAGTATGGATGAAAGCTCCGGAGAACACCTCTGCAAGACTACAACAGGAATATTGTCAGGACCACAAGCTGTTGAAGAGTCTAAGCAGGAAATTACTTTAGATACAGAAGCTGAGGTGATGCGAATGTCAAGCAAGGGATCAACCTGTTTGACGGCTATGTCAGGTAAAATGCAACTAGTGGAATCAAGAGATGATATTGATGAAAAGTTCTTAGCAAACAATTCAACTTTGTCTTTAGGTGAGGTGACAAAGTCTGAACCATACAAGAGAGAAGGAATAACAGATTTGCCCTTATTATTGATACTGTTAAAGATTCTCCAGAAGTCTCGAGAGCCTAATTTTTGTGATGAGATACGAGATTTAATGACCTGGGAATAGCGAGCTTTGGCGTCAGACAAAACCTTTTTACAATGGTTTCTGGCGATAGTGAACAGATGTCTGTTTTCTGGAGAATTGTTTTGCTGATAGATATGGAAGTAACGGTTTCGATTAGAAATTGCTGCAGCGCAATGTGAGGAAAACCAAGGAGAAGAGTGAGGCTTGACCTGGAATCGTCGAGAGGGAATAAAAGATTCCATGCCAGCCTGAATCCACGAAGTTATGTAAGAAGCACATTTGTCAGCAGGAAGACGAAAGATTTCTACCCAAGGGCCATCACGAAGAAAATCACGGAAAGAGTCCCAGTCAGCTTTAAGGTAGTTGTATGTGGTACGATGATAGGGGGATTCTGATGAAGTAGAAGAATTTGATAATAGTTTTAGAGAGATCAAACCGTGATCAGAAGTACCTAAGGGTGAATGTGGAGAAATTGAGCACTGACTAGGATCCAAAACAAGACATAAGTCGAGTAGAGAAGGTAAATGATTAGGGTTGTCTGAAAAACGAGTTGGAAAGTTGACTATTTGAGTTAGAGATTGAGAAAGGCAAAAGTTGAGGGCCTTAACGCCAGCAGAGTCACTGACACTAGAGCCAAGCCAATCGGTGTGATGGGCATTAAAGTCACCAACAACGACGATATTGGCCGATGGATAGAGAGAGAGGGCTTGGTCAATTTGATCAGAAATAACATCAAGAATAGTGCAATCTTGGGATGAAGGAGAGCGATATAGAACAAAGAGAAAGGCGATAGAGTGAAGTTGTGCTAAACGAAAGCACATAAATGAATAGTCTGTAGATTCAAACCTAGTTTCACGACAAATGGGTGAGTTCTTAGGAATGTAGATGCCCAGGCCAAGCATGTGATTATTGGAGTCTTTACGAATTAAAGGAAGATAACCATCAACACTAAGATCACAAGATGGGACAGCCGAACTCAAATTAGTCTCACAAAGAGCAAGTAGGTCTGGTGAACTTTGCAAGAGATAAGACTCAACAGAAGAAAAGTTACTTCGAAGACCACGAATATTAGTAAATGATAGGTTTAGAGAACTTGGTGATGACGATGGTTTTTTGTGTTTTTCAGTTTTAGGTACTTTAGTCATTTTAAATTTATAAAGAACTTGACTCAAGTATAGATAGTACTCAGTACACTATTTAACAACTAAGCAATAGCCTCATTACTATTAATAAACCCTAAGCCGTAACAAAGGGCTCCAAATGTGGCCTCTGCAATGCACACCAAAAGTACAAACAGGGACACCATCCATGCGCAACATGGCACTGTTAGTACTCTGATATTTTTCAGCTGTTGATGGAATCAGCCTCTCTGAGAGCTACCACAGAGTTCGGGAAACCTGACTACCAGCCGGCCTCAGAACCATAAAACTGAGTTTTAGAGCTGTACCCTCATTAGGAGATAATAGAATGAGTTGCCCAGTCATAAAAATAGAGACACAAGCAATACCCACTCATTGAGTCAAGAAGATCCAGCGTTCAACATTCTAAACTGGAAACAATGTATTAAAAATACATCTGCGCCAGCCTAATAGATGAGGAAGGGGTGCGAGGCTGGTCAACAGATAGAATCTGTTTACCCCTTAAGTCTTTGCCTAGGAGGCCTTCTACAAGACAGCAGCTGGATGCATGTAACATCTGCCCAAGATGAGTATTTTTATCGAGACACCATCTCTAGCCTTTACTCAACCAAGAGCCCCAAGGCAGGGGGTGTTTTAATTCGGAGTTAACTTCTCCTAGTCTTTGCCTAAAAAAGCGTATCCTACAAGGCAGCAGGACATGGAGCAGGTTTCTCTGATGGAGCACATTCTCTGATGGCACAACAAATTAATGACAATCTTAAAAAACTAGTAGTTCTGGGTTCACTGCGCGTGGTATCTTCTAATGTCCCAAACTGTCGTCGCAATTTGCGTTTTACCCGCATCCATAGATTTTCTACATTTTGGGTATGAACTTCATCATCTAGGGGATCAACGAAATTGCGTTCATGAACAACAACAGCATGTGAATAAATACCGTTTTGGATGTTTTCAATTCCCCCATATGAAGCCCAACCATCGGAAACGATATGAGTTCCGGGTAAAATATAACGTAAAATCATATCCTGAAGTGTTTCTGCAGTGCGATCGGGAACTTCTACTAAAAAACATTTACCTGAACCCCTTTCTATTCCACCGAATACCCAATGACCAGGGCGCCATTGTCCGCGATGATACTTGCGATGAAAAAACTTAGATTCATCTATTTCCACAACAATTGCAGTACCATCGTTATTTATGCCACCAACAACATTAGGATTAGTTTCAATCTCTACTTCGCATACATCTCGACAGAAGTTACCCCAATCTACAAGCGTATGGTTGACACTACTCAACCGGGCTTCATGCTGTATGTCTTTTAGTTGCATATCCCTGCTCCAACAATAAATAAAGAGTATAATTTGTTTAAATGACAATTTACTTCTGGTAAAGAATGATCCATCGCGAACACTTCGACGCCGCTTGCATTCTTTACAGTACCAGCAATACCCATCCACTGTTCTTTTGTAAGCGTTTAATGTAAAATGTCGATTACAGGGATTACAAAAAAAATTGTTTTTAATAAGCTTCCTCTGAGCTAACCATCGTAGTGTAGATATGGGTTGATCTAAACAAGACCCAAGTTCAAACAAACACCAATTTTCTGTTAATATTGCTGCCTCATTTAGTATTTCTACTTCTGGAACAATATTTGTTGAACCACTTGGTCTTCCGCGATTAACACGTTGTAAAGCCATCTAAAATATTTGATTTTTAAAAGTAAAAATAATAGATACAACTACTAAATAAAAAATAATAAATATGTAACTACTAAATATGAATATGTTAAAAAAATATAATATGTTAAAATTTTTTTTTTATATTAAATGTGTTTATCTTACCTTTTGGTAAGAGAAATGAAAAACGCTATAATTAATTAAATTAATGAAATAGTTAAATTTTTCTTACTTTTTACTTTTATTAGAACTCCATCGCAGATTTTAAAAAGCAAATTAATAAAATGATTTAACGTGTCTATTCTGCAACATTACCCAATGTTTTAATGATGTCAATATTATATATATATATATATATATATATATATATATATATATATATATATATATATATATATATATATATATATATATATATATATATATATATATATATATATATATATATATATATATAATTTAGTAAAAATACTCATCTAATTTTTTTGCTCTTCAACAGCATGTTTCACCATCAGTAGGTTCATCAGGAAGGAATATATATATATATATATTTATATATATATATATATATATATATATATATATATATATATATATATATATATATATATATATATATATATATATATATATATATATATATATATATATATATATATATATATATATATATATATATATATATATATATATATATATGTATTATGTGTGTTATGTCTATATGTGGACATATATGTGTTGGATATAATTATGTGTAGTCCTTTGTCTATAGCCCTCACCAAAATCTTCACTTTTTACTGTTATCATTTTAGTATTGTTACATCTTGCAAATTTTTTTTCTCCACTTTGAGCACTGGTTATGATCATTATGTTCCTTCACAAAAATAGCCTATTATAAAATCTTGCTTGATTTACTTTAATTTTTTTTTCTCGATTTAAAAGACCAAAAAAGGTTAAGAAACATTAATTCTTAACCAAAATATTTTGTTGCTGTTAGCCTATATATGAGCAGTACAATTTTTCTGACCACCTTTATAAACATTTTATAAAAAGCTTTTAAAATAAAAAAATAAAATTGATTATTTTTAAAATGTTTAGAAAACGTTTGATTAATATTAGGGGCCCATTAAATGTTCAAGTTCTTTGATAGTGCTCCAAAATAGTTATTTAAATTTAGTAAAAATCATCATCATCCTCATCATCATTACCATCATCATTACCATCATCATAGTTACCCTCATCCTCATCATCATCCTCATAATCCTCATCATCTTCATCTTTATCATCATTATTATCAGTATCATCGTCATCATCATCAGCATGATCAGCATTATTATTATTATTACCATTATCATCGTAATCATCATTAACATCATCACCATCATTATCACACACCTTGAAAATGTATTCCAGCAGCAAAAGAGAACAAAATTTTTTGTTTCAGCAAACTCTTTATCAAGTTGGTCAGACTGGAGTAACTGGTCAGAATGTTCTAGCTCTTGTGGTACTGGAATTACAAAAAGAACAAGAATGTGTCTTGATTCAACTAATTCCTGTGTAGAAAGCAGTACTGATGAAGCTGAATGTTACAGCAACCAAACATGTACAGGTATATCATCATATATATAAAGGTATATCATCATTGTCATTATCATCATCGCCATCATCATTATCATTATTTATAACTACTTTTAATTTGTTATTATTGCAATTATTTGTTGTCATTTAAATTAACAGACCCAATGTCAAGTTGGTCAGATTGGGGCAGCTGGTCTTATTGTTCTGTTACTTGTGGTAGTGGAACTATGAAAAGAACAAGGATTTGTTTTGGTACAAATGGTTTATGTGTTGGAAACACTTCTGATATAATTGATTGTTCTAGTAATCAAGCATGTACAGGTATTTAATAAGAAAAAATTAATGCTTTATGAAATTATTGTTTTGTAAGTGTTATCCTCCTCCTCATCACCATCATCATCTTCATCCTCATCATCCTCATAATCATCATCATCTTCATCCTCATCATCATTATCATCAACATCAATGTCATCATCATTTGCATCATCAGCATCATCAGCATTATCATTATCATCATCATTATCATTGAAATCATCATTAACATCATCACCATCATTATCACACGCCTTGAAAATGAATTCTAGCATGAAAAGAGTTGAAGGAATTTTTTGTTTCAGCAAACTCTTTATCAAGTTGGTCAGACTGGAGCAACTGGTCAGAATGTTCAAGTTCTTGTGGTACTGGAATTACAAAAAGAACAAGAATATGCCTTGATTCAACTAATTTCTGTGTAGAAAGCAGTACTGATGAAGCTGAATGTTACAGCAGCCAAACATGTACAGGTATTTAATGACTAAATACCTAACTTTTGTATGTAAAAGATGTTTTGTCATCATCATCATCATCATCATCATCATCATCATCATCATCATCATCATCATCATCATCATCATTATCATCATCATCATCATCATCATCATCATCATCATCATGATCATGATCATCATGATCATCATGATCATCATCATGATCATCATGATCATCATCATGATCATCATGATCATCATCATGATCATCATGATCATCATCATGATCATCATCATTGTCATCATCATCGTCATCATCATTATCATTTTTTATAACAACTTTCAATTTGTTATTATTGCAATCATTTGTTGTCATTTAAATTAGCAGACCCAATGTCAAGTTGGTCAGATTGGGGCAGCTGGTCTTATTGTTCTGTTACTTGTGGTAGTGGAATTATGAAAAGAACAAGGATTTGTTTTGGTACAAATGGTTTATGTGTCGGAAACACTTCTGATATAATTGATTGTTCTAGTAATCAAGCATGTACAGGTATTTGATAAGAAAAAAATTTATGTTTCATGAAATTAATGTTTTTTAAGTGTTATCCTTCCACTCATTCTCCTCATCACCATCATCATCGTCATCCTCATAATTCTCATCATCCTCATCATCCTCATAATCATCATCATCATCATCTTCATCCTCATTATCATTATTATCAACTTCATTGTCATCATCATCAGCCTTATCATTATCATCATCATTATCATTGTAATTCTCATTAACATCATCACTAGGGCATCCAATACCGGTATACCGAAAACAGGTATCCCGGTATACCGGACGTTTTTTGAATACCAATACCGAACTCTCAATACCGGTATATACCGGTATTTCTCATCGATGAGGCTTCGTGCGTGTTTTAACACAGAGAAATCTGTATCTGTATCAAATAGTTATGCTACTAAAATTCGAAACTCAATAATAAAAGAATTATCTAAACTTTAACAGCAAGGAAATCAGTTTAGTCTTGCGTTTGACGAGTAGACTTCGGTAAAAAATAGACGTTATTTGAACATTACCATTCATACTCAAAATAGATTTTGGAATTTGGATTTAGCGAAAGTTAATGGACATTTCCCAGCAGAAATGTGTGTTAAGTTAATTAACAACATACTGAAAGAACACAACCTAAATATTGATCGCGATATTGTATGTATTACTACAGATGGTGCTTCCGTTATGAAGAAAGTAGGCGAATAATGTCCGTTGACCAGCAACTTTGTCTAATCCATGTAATCCAATTGGCTGTGGTTGACGTCTTGTATAAAACAACAACTGTAGAATTGACCGATGATTATATTGAATCTGATGAAGATAGTGCGGGTGAGATTTCCGATGACAATAATAAAGAGCATTTAGACGGACTAAGGATTTTTCAGAACTCGCCAATTTCAAATGAACTTGAAAATAATTTGGCTCCATTGATAAGCAAAGTTAGAAAAGTTGTAAAGCTGTTCAGGCGATCGCCAACCAAAAATGAAATCCTTCAAGTTTATGTAAAAACTGAACATGGTAATGAACTGTCATTATTATTAGATAATAAGACCAGATAGAACAGCTTACTTTTTATGCCAGAGTGTTTTTATAAACTAAAAAATTCTATTCAAAAAGCCCTGATTGACTTAAACTCAGCTAATAATTTTATGGAATCTGAATTAGAATTGATATTATTAATAGTTTCTATGTTGTTACCAGTGAAATTGGCTGTAGAGGCTTTATGACGGAGAGATGCTAACCTACTATCAGCTGATACTACCCTGGCATTTATACTGCAAAATTTGGGCGTAGGACCATTAAGTTAAAATATGAAAACCTCTTTGATTATAAGAATAAAAGAAAGACACACTAATTTATTTTATCTCATACAATATCTTCATAAAGGTGATCAAGCCCATAATAATTTTAGTTCAGATATCATATTTGATTGGCTAACTAAAACTGCTTTGGTTAATTTAATTGTGCATCTTATCCAGCGGCTCTCATCCGAGCAAACTGAAACTGTAGCATTCCCATCAGAAAAAAATGTAGACAAAGATTCTATAATGTGTGAAGACGAACCTTTGAGCTTGACATTACAGGAGCAGCTAGACATGGCCATAAATAATGAGATAAAAATGAAAACAGTACCAAAAACAAAGCAAAGTATTAACGATTTGACTAAAATGGTGCGAAAAGAAGTTTCTATATTTGAGGAAGACGGTACACGTGGTACCAACTTAATGTTAGTATATGATTATATTTTAACTGTTCCCCCAACTAGCGTAGAAGCTGAACGGGCTTTCTCTACATCAGGAATTTTATGTACAAAAATGCAATCATCTTTAAATGACTAAACCTTAAATAATTTATGTTTTTTGCGGGCCTATTTTAGTAATAAATAACTATTTTATGTTTTTTGCTTGAAATTAATTAATTATATCTATTATTTTAACTTAAACAATAAAGTTTTGAAACCGTTTAACTGTTGCTTTGGGTTTTATTAAATGTTTTTTTAGTAATAGTAAATACCGGTTTTAATACCGGTATTTCGGTTTTCACTTAATCTAATACCGAAAAACCGGTATTCAATTTTTGGTCCGGTATTGGATGCCCTAATCATCACCATCATCATCACACGCCTTGAAAATGTATTTCAGCATGAAAAGAGTTAAATGAATTTTTTGTGTTAAATGAGTTTAAACATTGCTGATACTAAATCTATATGGAGTATCTTCTGTGTTTAAATAAAAGTTGTGTAAAAGCTGAGTTGTGTATCTATCAATACCAAAATTTTTTTTGCATAATAATATTGAATATTTATCTCCAAATAGTTATTTTGGTGTCGAGTGGCTGCATCTATTTTATCATAAATAAATTTCTGTAACAAAATTTCCTTTATTTCAGCAAATTCATTAATCAAATTGCGTACAGAATTGTGTCCGGTACTGAATCCAAGAGTTTTTCGTAATTGGCCTGTAACCAACTGAAATCTTTTATCCGCAAATATTTTCAACAAATCTCTGTTATTCACTACCATTCTAATAATTCCAATTTTAAAAGTTTTAGCACTAGTTTGATTTATTGTTCAACTAATAACAAAAGAATCTAAAATAATCTGTTTAGTTTTTTTGGTATTTAAATCTTTTGAAGATTTTCTTTTGGCCAAAAGGCTCATTTCAGATCCAACAATTTTTTATTCTGATAGATGTGGTTTTTCCAAATACCGTTTCATATTGTAAACTTTTGATTTTTTTATTTGCATGGCGCATAAAATTACTTTATCATTTAACTTTTCTGTAATCTTACATGTGACCAGTTTTGTAGTTTTATCAATTGAAAAATACTTATTAGAAACCTCTCAGGATCGTTTGAGTTTGAAGCTATTTTTATAAAAAACTATGATAATAAAATAAATGACAAATTTTAAAGATAAGAGAAATAATAAAAAAGATAGTATAAACAAAAATAATATCAATAATATCAAAAATATAAACGCTAAAATCTTTTTATAATTTTATTTGGAACTCACATGTTTATATCTATTTTGAAAATGTTTCAACAAATTAAAAACGTTAAAACAAATCATGTGACTTAACACATAGACAAAGTATTTTTTTGTTAAGGGTCGTCCATAAAGTACGTACATAATATACTTTATGTATATAAGGTACACTCATCATACTCTGCATTAAGAATCACATGACATCTTACACAAATTAATTGGATAAAAATTAAATTCTGAAAAAAAAAGTTTTCTGTTTTTTTTTTTTTTTTTTTAATCTTATGAAAAAATGCATTATTTAGAAATTATGATTATTTTAATGAGCGTAATTGTTTAAGTTCTGAAAATAATTTCATTTTATAAAATAATAACTTTATGAAAATTTGATATATCAAATTATCAAAAGGGTGGAGCTGGCTTGGAGCTGGGTCTGGAGCCAAGGTTGGCAAAAAAAACCAACCCAAGAAAACCCACCTTAAAAAAACCCAATAAAACCCAAAATATATTTGGGTTTTTTTTTTTAAATGTCCTATTTTACAACTGATAACTCTGATTTTAACACTTATAAATGCTTTATTATCAGCAAGTGCAACTTTTATACTGTAATTACTCTTGTAAACATTTATATACATAATGGTATTTAGAATATATCCAAAACCAATCAATCTGTTTTTGTATCAAGTTGGTTATTTATTATTTTTTTAAAACATAGCAAGTTATTATAAATGTTAATGAAATATGTATTGAAACATTAAATTAGTTAAATACTTATAAAGGAAATAAAAATCATTCTATTAACTAAATTTCAAGACATTACTAGTTATTTAGTATCTTTATTCTCCTATCAAATGTCTATATAACAAGCGTTTTATATATGTCATTTTATATTGGTATTTCATCTTTTATTTTTTAAAGTTTATTGAAATTTCAAAGCCTCAAGCAAAATACTACATATAAAAATTATTAAACTTTATTTACAGTTTAGAAATGGAAAATTGTCAGGCAAAAAAATATGATACAGTTTACTAGACTCGTCTTTATTAAGTGTATACAACTTTAAAACATAAAAAAAATTAAGTTATGTGCAAGCAAGTTTGCAACATGTTTGCTCATTCAATGAGAGAACATGTTGAAAACTTATATGCATTTCACAAGGACAAGATTTTTTGGTAAAAATGATACTCGTGCTCATCTGTCTTTTGAAAGGTTTTGAATATTTTGCATCAGCTACAAGTTTACAACATGTACCACCAATAGGGGTGAGTATGAACAGCAGGTGGGAAATGAACATCAGTATCAAGTTGATAAAAGGTGAAGAAACACACACAATAGAGCTATATAATTTGTTACTTTGATTCAATTGCAAAACTGAGCCGGTAAAACATCTTCAAGGAAAAAAAAAGAATCCGGTGGTGAAGACACTGTAATGGTTCTTAACAAACTCATTTTAGATATTTCAAGAACAACTAAAGCTTAGGCAAAAATCCATTTTTTGCCTTAGTCCAGTTGATCAGGCCGATAACTTTTCCAGGAAGCTGGACAGTATAATATTCTGATTAAAAAAAAAAAAATGTAGTAGTAATTTTTATAGTGATTTTTTTTTAGTCAAAAATATTCTGAACTTGTTTTTAATTTAGTGCAATTAATTAACATCATTTATAGTTTTATGGAGTCCCCTTTTGCACTTTAGGTAAAATGTGCTAGTAGACTAGTAGTAAAACATTTGGCTCGCAGAAGACTGAAATGTTTTACTACTAACAGAAGGTTGGGATTCAAATTATCTCTGCTTAAATTACTATGCTCAATCTATTTCTCTGCACAGCGCCTTTGTTTAAAAATTTTAGTTGTTAATGTTGTTTGTTAGTAAAAATGGTAATGTTAAGGATTGAGACAAAATATTTTTAAAAAATGAGTTGCTCCCTTGACTGAAGTGGTCATTGGAGCAATAGGGAGGTGAATTTATGAAATTAAAAAAAAAATTATTGTACTCATATAATTATAAAAATTTGGTATTTTGATCGGTTTTAAAAAAACCTAAAAAAGCCATAAAACCCCCCAAAAAAAAAAACCCAAACAAAACCCATTTGGGTTGAGTTTTTTTTTAAAACCCTGGGTTTTTTCCAACCCTGTCTGGGGCCAGCTACGACAGGAAATATTTTAGCTCCAGCTTCGGCTTAGTTCCTTATAAAATCACCAGCTCCGGATGGCTCCAGCTCTGGAGCTGTTCCAAAGCCCTGATTTATATTATCAAATATTTTTATTTTGTTGTCATAATTTAGAAAAAAATGACTTTAATTTTTCTTTGTACTAAGTTCCAGTTTAGTCCCAGTTATTTTCAATTAATAACAATTTTTTTGCTTATTTTTCATAAAAATAAATTTTAATGACAAATCTTTTTTGTTATAATTAAAAAGTATAGTTCTGAAAGTTCATTATTTTAGGCAAAAAATATCATGATCATAGGGGTGAAGAAGGGGGTTTAGGGGTAGGGAGGTTGGGGGTATCATGAGGATTGGTTGGTGAATTTCTTTTGAATAAAGTTTTATTTGGTTTTAGTAAACAACCATATATAAACGTATTTTAAAATATTAACTTGAATAAATATATTAACAGATATATGTAAAAAGTTTATTTGGGATTATTTTAAGGAAAATACTTTAAAAGCGTTGTAAGGGGGTCATATAAAAATTTGTTTAAAATAAGATCTTATTAGGTTTTATTAAACTAAACTAAACAATAAAATTGTAAACATAGAAAATGTGAAATGTATGAACATAGTTGATTATCGAAAGTCTATTTTTTTCCCTTTTTAGCAAAATTAAAAAAAAAAAAAAAAAACTTAAAAAAGGTGGTCAATAATAAAAAATTTTCAAGTTATTTTTGGTTTAAATAAATAAAAATACATATGTAACCAATTGAGAACCTAAAACTAGTTCAAAATAAAAAAAATTTATACATATTTAAATTTATTATTTATCATAAAAATATACTTTTTATATTTACTTTTGTTATTTTTAATTATTTATTATATATTATATTTCATTTTTATTTTCACCTATTTTCAAAAACAATTAGTTACAGTAGTATTACCATATTTAAACCTTGCCATAACCCTAAGCCTGACCTTGATGCTGATCCAAACCAAACTCTCAGTTAATGTAGCAGCATAAAATATGAATATTTAATAATAAATACCAATAATATCATATTTTATTATTAAATACTTAATATTATTATAAATATAATAATATCATATTTAATGATAACTTGATATATTAACTTATTAAATATATTGATATCATATTTAATGATAACTTGATATAATAACTTATTAAATATATTAATATCATATTTAATGATAACTTGATATAATAACTTATTAAATATATTAATATCATATTTAATGATAACTTGATATAATAACTTATCAAACACTTGATATTATCATTGATATTATCATTTTTAAATGTTTTAAAAAAGAAATGTCAAAACAACTTTTTTTTTTTTTTTCAGTTTCCTTTTATTTAAATTTCTTCAAGTTTATACGCTTTTTTATAAGTTAATAAATTTAACAAACTAAATTGAGAAAAATTCATTATTTTGTATTAATGGATAACAGTTTACAGTCATAATGTTATTGCATATTAGTTATCTTTAGTTTGCGCGCACTTTGCAAATGCGTGAAAAGTTTATAAAAAATTTATAAAATTCAATAAGCATCTTTGATATATCTAATTAACTATCTTATTAATTTTTTTTATTTAATTAATTTTATTTAATAATTAATTTATTATTAATATCTTATTAACTAGAATAAAAGTTATTTGAAAATAAAATTCCCTTATAATTTAATAAAAAATTATTTGAATAAAAATAAATAAAAATTGAAAATAAAACTGGCATATTTATGGCAGACAACACGGGTTTCGAAGTGCAGGTGCACAACCATCTATTTCTAAAAGCAAGTTCTATATATTTACAATTTCTATATATTTACAACTTTAAAAAAAAACAAACAAGAGGGCCTTTAAAAAAATAATTTTTATTGTTTGCATTGTCAACCCTGTTATTTGAAATACCTCGTAAACTAGATGTTTGCAATAAATAAAGAAACAAACGTCAACGTTTATTTAAAAAAAAATGAGTTGTCGCACCCTGCAGATGATGTTATTATTTCTAAATATTTAGTAAATCTTAAAAAAAAAACTATGATAATAGACAAATAATTCAACCTAAAATCTTATAATTTAAAAATTATTTGAAATCCAAAATACTTAAATTCAGTTAACGAATAAAACTTTCATACTTGAAAAAAAAAAATTAAAACAAATCGATAAAAGTCAAAAGAATTTCTCATATCTTGATTTGAATATACTGCTGATAATTTATTTTTAAAGAGCTTTTCTAATATACATTTAAAAATATTAAAATAATAATAATAATTATTATTATTTTAGTTTTCATGTAAGTTTGTAAATTTATTTACATTATAAAAACACTTATAAAAAAACAGCGAAATTGAATTAAATATTTTTAACCTAATTTTAATGGTAGCAACATAGCTATTTATAGAATTGCAACATGTAGCTTTTCTGATCTTGTGTATTATTTCTACCTATTCTATCTACCGGACCAAGTAGCTTTTCTACCCAAAAATGTAGCAAATCTATGAAGTGCAGAAAATCTACCCAAAAAAGTAGCAAATATAAAAAAAATATATAGCAAATCTCAAGGTATGTCTAATCACCATCATCATCAGCATTATTGTTATCATCATAATCATCATTATCATCATTAACATCATCACCATCATCTTCATACGCTTTGAAAACGTTTTCCAACATTAAAAAAATTAATAAATTTTTTGTTTCAGCAAACTCTTCATCAAGCTGGTCAGACTGGAGCAACTGGTCAGAATGTTCGAGTTCTTGTGGTACTGGAATTACAAAAAGAACAAGAATTTGCCTTGATTCAACTAAATCGTGTGTAGAAAGCAGTACTGATGAAGCTGAATGTTACAGCAACCAAACATGTACAGGTAATTAAAAACTAAATACCTAACTTTTATATGTAAAAGATGTTTTTTCATCATGATCATCATGATCATGATCATCATGATCATCATCTTCATCATCATCATGATCATGATCATCATCATCATCATCATTATCATCATCATCATCATCATCATACCTTGAAAATGTATTCCAGCATGAAAAGAGAATAAATTTTTTGTTTCAGCAAACTCTTTATCAAGTTGGTCAGATTGGAGCAACTGGTCAGAATGTTCGAGTTCTTGTGGTACTGGAATTACAAAAAGAACAAGAATTTGCCTTGATTCAACTAAATCGTGTGTAGAAAGCAGTACTGATGAAGCTGAATGTTACAGCAACCAAACATGTACAGGTAATTAAAAACTAAATACCTAACTTTTATATGTAAAAGATGTTTTTTCATCATGATCATCATGATCATCATCATCATCATCATCATCATCATCATCATCATCACCATCATCACCATCATCACCACCATCATCATCGTACCTTGAAAATGTATTCCAGTATGAAAAGAGAATAAATTTTTTGTTTCAGCAAACTCTTCATCAAGCTGGTCAGACTGGAGTAACTGGTCAGAATGTACTAGTTCTTGTGGTACTGGAATTACAAAAAGAACAAGGGTGTGCCTTGATTCAACTAAATCGTGTGTAGAAAGCAGTACTGATGAAGCTGAATGTTACAGCAACCAAACATGTACAGGTAATTAAAAACTAAATACCTAACTTTTATATGTAAAAGATGTTTTTTCATCATGACCATCATGATCATGATCATCATGATCATGATCATCATCATCATCATCATCATCATCATCATCATACCTTGAAAATGTGTTCCAGCATCAAAAGAGTTAAATAAATTTTTTGTTTCAGCAAACTCTTTATCAAGTTGGTCAGACTGGAGCAACTGGTCAGAATGTTCGAGTTCTTGTGGTACTGGAATTACAAAAAGAACAAGAATTTGCCTTGATTCAACTAAATCGTGTGTAGAAAGCAGTACTGATGAAGCTGAATGTTACAGCAACCAAACATGTACAGGTAATTAAAAACTAAATATCCAACTTTTGTATGTAAAAGATGTTTTTTCATCATGATCATCATGATCATGATCATCATCATCATCATCATCATACCTTGAAAATGTATTCCAGCATGAAAAGAGAATAAATTTTTTGTTTCAGCAAACTCTTTATCAAGTTGGTCAGACTGGAGTAACTGGTCAGAATGTACTAGTTCTTGTGGTACTGGAATTACAAAAAGAACAAGGGTGTGCCTTGATTCAACTAAATCGTGTGTAGAAAGCAGTACTGATGAAGCTGAATGTTACAGCAACCAAACATGTACAGGTAATTAAAAACTAAATACCTAACTTTTATATGTAAAAGATGTTTTTTCATCATGACCATCATGATCATGATCGTCATGATCATGATCATCATGATCATGATCATCATCATCATCATCATCATCATCATCATCATCATCATACCTTGAAAATGTGTTCCAGCATCAAAAGAGTTAAATAAATTTTTTGTTTCAGCAAACTCTTTATCAAGTTGGTCAGACTGGAGTAACTGGTCAGAATGTACTAGTTCTTGTGGTACTGGAATTACAAAAAGAACAAGGGTGTGCCTTGATTCAACTAAATCATGTGTAGAAAGCAGTACTGATGAAGCTGAATGTTACAGCAACCAAACATGTACAGGTAATTAAAAACTAAATACCTAACTTTTATATGTAAAAGATGTTTTTTCATCATGACCATCATGATCATGATCATCATGATCATCATCTTCATCATCATCATCATCATCATCATCATCATCATCATCATCATCATCATCATCATCATCATCATCATCATACCTTGAAAATGTGTTCCAGCATCAAAAGAGTTAAATAAATTTTTTGTTTCAGCAAACTCTTTATCAAGTTGGTCAGACTGGAGCAACTGGTCAGAATGTTCGAGTTCTTGTGGTACTGGAATTACAAAAAGAACAAGAATTTGCCTTGATTCAACTAAATCGTGTGTAGAAAGCAGTACTGATGAAGCTGAATGTTACAGCAACCAAACATGTACAGGTAATTAAAAACTAAATATCCAACTTTTGTATGTAAAAGATGTTTTTTCATCATGATCATCATGATCATGATTATCATCATCATCATCATCATACCTTGAAAATGTATTCCAGCATGAAAAGAGAATAAATTTTTTGTTTCAGCAAACTCTTTATCAAGTTGGTCAGACTGGAGTAACTGGTCAGAATGTACTAGTTCTTGTGGTACTGGAATTACAAAAAGAACAAGGGTGTGCCTTGATTCAACTAATTTGTGTGTAGAAAGCAGTACTGATGAAGCTAAATGTTACAGCAACCAGACATGTACAGGTATTTAAAAACTAACTATCCAACTTTTGTAGGTAAAAGATGTTTTTTCATCATGATCATCATTATCATCATCATGATGATGATCATCATCATCATCATCATCATCATCATCATTCTTAGCAGCAGCATCATCATCTACATCATCATCTTTATCACCATCATCATTAGCATCATCATTATCATCATCATTATTGTCATCTCCCTCATTATCCTTATCATTGGCATCATAATCATCATCATCAGCGTCATTGTTATCATTATCATCATAATCATAATTAACAGCTTCACTATAATCATCACCTTAAAAGTGAAACTTTGTATGAAAAGGGTAAATAAATTTTTTGTTTCAGCAAGCTCTTTACCAAATTGGTCAGACTGGAGCAGCTGGTCAGAATGTACTAGTTCTTGTGGTACTGGAATTACAAAAAGAACAAGGGTGTGCCTTGATTCAACTAATTTGTGTGTAGAAAACAGTACTGATGAAGCTGAATGTTACAGCAACCAAACATGTACAGGTAATTAAAAACTAAAAACCCAACATTTTTTCCACATGTATGAAAATAATATATTTGTTTGCAAAAACTAGTATGTTCATCCAGGTAAAAATAAATTTGAAATTAAAAACAAAAAATGCTAATTGTTATGGGTAAAGCTTGCAAGTCAACATTCAGTTCTTAGGGGAAGTTGTTCATTACAAATTGAAAAAAAAATATATATATATATACAAATGTATGATTTTTTTTAATGAAAAGATGAAAAATTCTATTATTAAAGGAAGTATGGTTAAATAGTTCAAATTTTAATAATTAAAATTACATTGAGTTCTATTGCATCCACGCTGTTATTTAAAAGTGATATAAATGCTGAAGATTTTTCCTAAACTTATAAAATTCATTAAGAATATATATTACAAACACATTGAAGCAATATATTTAAAATTTAGATTGTGTTCTAAACAAAACAAACAAAAGCTAATAACAGACTTTTATATGCATAAACATTCAAAAAAAAAAAAAAAAAAAAGATAAACATATATACTGCTTTGCTAGAATACACGCCGTAAGGAGCAAAATTTTATTAAATAGTAAGGTACTTATGCTAAACAAACAAATTTAATAACTACTTATGATATATTACTCTACCTTAATAATCATGGGCAGTATATATATCAGCCCTCGATTAAACGTAAAAAAACTCATGACAATTTTAACTTTCTTTAAAAAAAAAACAACCCACAAGCGCTAAAATACTAAATTAAAATAACAAAATAAGACCTCACTCCATGCACTGCAACAATAACTCACTCCATGCACATTTTTAACATCCATAATATTTCATTTTCCAAAATCAAGCATTTGATGTTTTTCTTCTACATTAAACACTTCTGTAGTTTTTTCAACCTCATTCTTATTTTTAACCTCTATTGATTCAATTTGAAAATGAATGTTTTCATCTGAGCCAACCTGTTGAAATCTGAGCCAACCTGTTAAAAAGATTTCAAGTTATACATTAACTAATTTTTTAAAAATAAATTCTGCACAAACCAATTAATTTCCCGGTAGTGGTGTAGTGGCAGAGCGCTCGCTTCATAAGTGAGAGGTTCTGAGTTTAATTACCACCGTGTACCTGATAGTACCGTGCTTAACTTGTTTCTCTGCGCAGCGGCCTTGTTTGTCAAGGTTCGTGTTTCGGAGTTTAGAGTTGAGAGGGTTAAAACCATAATTAAATAGCCTCCTTTTCTGTAGTGGTCTTGTCGGCATTGGGGAGTTGAATTAAAAATAGAGAATAAAAAATAAAAAGTGTCTTGCAACAGATGCTAAACATAATAAAACATAGTAAAACAAAAGTTACTTCATATTTATTTTTAACATCTATAACTTTAAAGTCTTTTTCAAAATCAGAGTATATTCTGCATCAACCAATTGTTTAGTATTTTTAACTTGATCAACGTTAGTTGTACTTCTATCATCTTTCTTTTCATTTTCACAATAAATTTTTTCATTCAATTCCGAACAAACCTGTTAAAAACAACATTACATTATAGAAAACAATTCCAAATAAAAAAGATCATTGATCAAAAAAAAGATATGTTTGTTACATTAACTCATAATAAAAAATTTTACTTTAATATATATATATATATATATATATATATATATATATATATATATATATATATATATATATATATATGTATATATATATATATATATGTATATATATATATATATATATATATATATATGTATATATATATATATATATAAAATATAAACTTATTAATCACTTTTACTTAAAACTCACCTTTAATACTAACTCTGATAGTAATTCATTGATGATGACTTTTTGAAACATATTCAATTCATTTTAATAAAAAAAACCTGTTATATGTTAAGTATTGAATTAAATTCTTCATTATAAATAAACTTGACAATATTTTATAAACAAATTGATTTTAAATGCTCAGAAAAAAAGTACATTTTCCTCTTTACTAATTACAAAACAATCTTTTATAACTTTTGTACTTTCTTGATTTTAAGACAATCTTTGTAAATGTTCATTTTCTAAAAACAATTTGAAATATTATATAGGAAACAAAATCAAAAAGAAAAGAGAAAAATGTAACACAAATTAACTATAGTTAGATATACCATCATAATAGATTATATAATCATCATAAAATTATACACACATAAATTATTTGTATAGTTTTAATATAAATAAAAGCTTTTTTTTTTTTACCAAATTTTATCACACGACAGTGCTGTAGTAAAGTATCTTATAGCAAAATTTACTTATAGCAAAGTTTTCTTATCACAAATATACACTACAAAGATTTAATAAGTAAAGAAAAGATATAAAAGATATAAAAGGGTAAAACATACTAACTATTTGAGAACTTTTTAGCCTTTCTTTTAAATTTTGTGAAAAAGTACTACCATAATCTAAAATAAATAATATACAATCAAAGCATTTCTAAAAACTGCTTCAACAAACAACATGAAACTACAACAAATTTATGATTTAAATTTATAATACAACACAGTTGAAAATTGACTTCAAAAATACTAAATGCAATAAGTTAGCTTAGTTATTTAAATTGATTTTGACAGATTCTTACCAGATGATTTATCACTTTCATCTTCCTCTGATATTTCTTGATTTTTAAAGTATTAAAAATATAAAGATAAACCATATATGAATGTTATATAAATTGTTAAACATAATTATATAATTGACACGTATTTTATTCAACCATATTCAAAGAAAGCTATTTAAAGAAAATGTTGAACTCTATCTAAAAGTGAAGCTCATAACTGTTATTGTACTATACTATGCTAGTGAAAAATTTATAAAATTTCTTTTGTTTAAGAGTGCTTTACATACATTCTATGTAAAAATTACTATATAAATTAAAATGAGCTATATGTAAATTTTAATAAGATAATGTTGAAGCAAATAAGTTTGATGCTATGGCATTTCATATAAGATAAAAAACAAAAATTTTGCAATATGATCATATAACACAGATCAAATTATTCAAATACTAAAATTTCAGTCCTATAAAAAAAAGTTTGTACTTTTTAATTTAAAATAGATTTAATGCACTCCTAAAAATCACAAAAACTTGTTACCATTTTTAACAGTTGCAAAGATTTTATAAAGATTTTAAACATTTTAGGTCCCAGTTAACTGTTGTGTATTAATTTTATATTACAAATCAAATTCTTCTGCTATCGTAACAATAATAACTTTTTTTAACCATCTGACTTAAGTTACATTCAGTAAATGTCACCAACAAATTACAAGCAGCCGTGAGTAAAGTTATTTTAACTAACCTTTATGATTCTCAAAAAAATAATAAATTACCTTTCTGAAATATATGACATTAATTAAATTTCTGCCTAACAATAATTCAAAACAGTTTAAACTTTTAATTTACAAAACTAAAATAACTTAAAAAGTATAGCGATTAACTAAAATTGAAAAGATAACTAAAAAAGATAAAAATGAATAAGATTATAACAAAGTTCAACGATAAAAAGAATAACTTGAATTCTTGACATTCCCTCAAGTTTAGCAAAAAAATAAATAATTGCTTCAGACACCAGAACTTTAAATACACATTCATTATACTAAAAAATATACAAGCTAACAGTTATGCAATATGAATTTTTCAAAATTCTGAAAAGATCTTTGAACTAACTCATATGTATATTTTACATGTACTGTTAAATGGTAAATAAACATTGAAAACAAATTTAAAACAAAACACAAAATTTTCTGTTATAGAATTATATAACCAAACCAAAGCACTATATAGATAGTGTTGTTGATAATTGACTTGATAAGTCAATTAGCTCTTGATCATATAAATTTTCGGGGAGTAAAAAAAATAAAAAAAGTATTAAAAATTTATTGCACTTATTTTTCTTACTATTTATAATCTTAAAAAAAAAAAAAAAAAACACGCAATTACACACACATTTACTTTTACTTCCTGCATTAAATAAATCATGCCTGTAACTGTACACCTAAATACCATTACTTAAAAACATTAATTTTTAAAATTTATTTCATTGTCTCTCTCTCTCTCTCTCTCTCTCTTTATATATATATATATATATATATATATATATATATATATATAAATATATATATATATATATATATATATATATATATATATATATATATATATATTAGGGTGGGTCATAAAATTTTTTTTAGAGTTGGTAACCTGGCTATAGTCTAGAAAGTTGTTTTTTTATGTACAAATTTAGGAAAGTATTTACTTATATGGATTGAACAATGTCTTCCACCCGCAACTATAATTACAAAAATTAGCAGGCCCTATTATTATTCAAAAAAAAAGTTTTTCAAAATTATGTGATGTAGGTACTCAAATAAAGCGAAATTTTATAAAAATTTTAAAAAATAATATATTTTAATATAAAAATTATTATTTTAGATTTTATTGCATAATAACTATAGTTTTTTAACTAAAAGTGAAAAAGGTGCATTTTTACATGTTTTTTAATAACAATTTTTTTCAGCATTATGATTTTTATAAAACAATTATTATTTTCGAATTTTTTATAAAATTTCGCTTCTTTTGAGTACCAGGTTGACCTACTTTTGAAAAACTTTTTTTCTCCAAAATATTAGGATATTGGTAATTTTTCCAATAAAGTTGCGTCCTTTAAATATATCACAATCATTCTTATATTTGATAGTATCAATATTAATACCCATTAGCAATGTTTAGAGCCTGTAACAAGAAAAAAAAATTTTATGACCCACCCTAATATATATATATATATATATATATATATATATATATAATATATATATATATATATATATATATATATATATATATATATATATGTATATATATATATATATATATATATATATATATAATATATATATATATATTATATATATATATATATGTATATATATATATGCATATATATATATATATATATATATATATATATATATGTAT